GATGACTTTTGTCATATACTACAGGACAGTTTGTTTTCATCACCACCTGCTACCTTTTCCTTCTTCATGGGTTAGCTTCTCTAGTGTCCATCATGGAATTTGTGGAAATTAAAAAACCAAGATCTCCCCTATTATGTTTACTAAAGAAGACCACTAAAGATATTGACTAGAGAATACTGCTTGCTACTTCAATTACATTTATTTTTCTTTTATTAACAAGAATATTGATTCTTCAAGGAAGTGGCTCACGTTTAATTTTACAGTGACCTGAAATAAATGACAAGCATATGGTTATTAATCTCAATGTATCATTTCTTGATAATTTGTAAGTTTGTTTGCATTTTATTTATAAATATTGGCTTAAAAGTATATTTAGTTCAAGGACTGGGAAACTTTCTGCTCAAGAACACTGAATAGACACAGGAAAGAAGGCAGAGGTCTTTAGTGGTAGGTATTAGCTGAAAGTTTCCTAAAACAATCCTCTGGGTCCTAATTTAATCTTTAGTAGAGCTATACTCCCTCAATTCAACTAAATTGACAGACCATACACTGTGTTTTTGATGTGATGAAACAAAGGGGCCCCTGCCACAGGTCAAATGCGTGGGATTTTACTATATTCAGACATTCAGAAGCTAGGTTTGGGGTTTTAGTATTAGAAAAATCACATGATTTTCTAAGGACTGGGCTGAACTCTACCTTAAAATCTAGGTCCCCAAGTTAAATCTTCTGCGATCTCCATTTTGGTTAAAGTTTTCCCTTATTTACCCCTCTGATTCAGTCCAAAATACACAGTTGTTGATAATGGTAGAAAATGTTAAAAATATTTTGTAAAAAATGTTTTAATAAGAAAGGGCTTGTTTCTATTATATCACAGCAAATGAGGGATTTCAAATGCTATGCTGTTTGGATGATGGAAGGACACACATATGTATCTTGGAGTGGAGACTCCACCAGTTTCTACCAGAGAAAAACAATGAAATAAATTGGAACTGAATGGGGCTAACTGGAAACCTTATAACACTTTTTCATGAAATGATGCATTCCAATCGAACAGCAACAAATAACAAACTTAAACCCATGGTTGTACTAAGCATACTTACCACTTATTTCATCTTGAATTGCACTGTGACTTTCCTTCTTGTTTACTTTCCATTAGGAGGGGTATTTGTAGAGACAGACGCAGGTATTGGAAAAGGAAAACCCAAATATCTGTACCAGTAACCTGGAGGATATAGGAATGGAGGGTACCGGCCAAATGGATTTTGTGGGGGGAAAAATGGATTTCGTGGGGGCACAAAAATCTGTAAAGATGATTCATCACTGTCACTGATCTGTTGAAAGAAAGAAATTAAAAAGACTTGTTTTACTCTTTACAGAGAAGAGAAATAAAACAGCCTTTTACCATGTGGGTCTTCATTTTTAAGCTTCAGAAACTCTAAAATAATTTATCCTTTCCATGTTTACTATGTACAAGTATTTTATTAATTTGTATCATTTCAGAAAATTGTTTAGAGAAAACCATGTTCCTCTATCTTTCTACTCAAAGCCAATTTTTTCCAATAATCACTTCTATAATCATAAGGCCAAGAGGAAGTGTTAAGGTGCCATATACTTTCTCTCTTCTTCTTCATACAAGGTCTTTACCCAAAC